CAGTTAATAAAAACTTTAAAGTGGCGCCTTAATTTTCGAAATTGATGAATATTATTAAGGAAGTATGGCGTATCGACCAAAAAGCCTCTGAGAAATAATGTACATGATGTCTATCCATCGCAAACATCGTTTTAATTTTTATGACACGTGCAAAACTCATATATAGACGTTGTTACATTTTGTAATTTGACGTCCTATGGAAAAAAGTACATTAAATTTAACGTTTCATTTATAACAGTGTTATACCTATGCTTTATTTTTTACGAAGAATGCAGTTAACTAACTGGAAGTTACTGACTGCTACAGAAATACAAGACCATGAAAACCATTCTCCAGTTAGCATATTGCAGTATATTTTTCACCATCCAAATCTTTATAAATTAACTAAGAATAAATATGATTATGCATTTCTTTTACGATTTAATTTCCACTCAAATAACAACTTGTAAACAATTACGTACCTTTCGTTTTAATAAAATGGTACCAATGGAACGTTAAAATAACCTTAAGTTAAATTGATTGGACAAATAATTATTTAACTAATACAATTTCCTTTTAACACATGCTACCTTAGAGATAAATTTTAAGAAATTCAGTAAATGTAGAAGAACAACAAATGTCACGTATAGTTTGGTCGTAGAGGGTTGGTAATGGATTGGCTGCTAAATAATGATTTTTAATTCAATTCAGCGAGACTACGCCCCTGATTTCAACTTTCCTCCCTCAGCATGGCTACACTGCTAGTCAAATGCAGTGATGTAGTCAGTGTGTTGGAACGAAATTTCCCGTTCGAGCCCGGCTTCCAACGCGATGACAAAACGCTAATTAATATTGTAGCCTACTGTTTTGATTATGATTGGAAGTCCGGCTCAAATTATGGGGAAGATTAACTAACAATACTTGTAGGGATAGAAGTTAAAAAAATCTATGAACCTCCATAGTTTACTAAGAATTAAGTGGATGCACTGTTTCATGTCATAACTCAAACTCAACTCACTTTATTTACCTTTTTTCAAAACACAGAATAACAAAAAAAAAACATATGATTATAATTAACAGAAATTAACAGGTGTTATGAAATAAACTGTTCTCACAACAGTAGTTCCTTAGACACAGCTGTTGATTAATATAGCCTATACAGCCAATGGCAACTATGGGACCCACAGTTTATAGTGGAATCCGAACCACATTTTTTCATTAACTATCTGCCGTTTTAACAACTATATATATCAAATGTTGTGACCCCATATTGCACGAAATAAAATATGCATGTATTTTAGTATTTTGTTGTTTATTTGGGCAATATATAGGCATAACATGTATTTATAACTTTAAATAATTTTATCGTTGACACATATATAAATGACTGGCGTTACATTTTCTGTAAAACGTGGTAAAACTATGCAGTATCGTAGTCTAGGTGGTAAAAAGAAAAACATTTGTTGTTACACAAAATGTAGCCTAACACTATGCAGCAAAATGCGCTCAACCGGTATTACAACTTAGCAACACTTGCAGCAATGAACATATATGTATCCATATCAAATGGGGCCTAACATCAGAGATGAATTTGTATGTACTTATGAACTGTATGTATTTTTATGTCCAAGAATTGGTTAACGTTCTAATCTAAAGTAACTTCTTATATTTCTAAAACATTTTTTTATGAAACTTATATTTCATACAAATATTTGTTAGGCTTATTATGGGTTAAACCAATCAAATCTCTAATTTAATTCGAGTGTTTATGATAGAGCGTAAATGGAGTTATGAAACTTGTAGCATTAATAAAATCGTACCATTTTAGCTTGTAGCATATCTTTCCTATTTCCAATTTTTTGCCAGCTGTATACTTCATAACTTGTAATACAATGAGGCAAGCTTTGAGAAATTGAAGACTGTTCTGAGCAAACGGATTCACTAAATTATTATTAAATAAAATACTTAGCCATGAGAAATACCACTAAATATCAATAGATATATTTTAATAAACACATTAGCTATGTAAATGAATTTAGAGTTTTCGATTTTACCATACCATACCCGCTGCCAAAAAATGACTGCTCTGAGTTCTCAATGTGGTTTATTTAAAAAATGTTGTAAAAAACCTTGATCAGCATCAATGGTTTATATGTAGATTTTGACTCTATTCAGATACACGTATGTTTAATATATGTTGTATATTGAATAAAGACTATTTGAATCTTGAATCTTTGAATCTCGAATGCTAGTAACTTATGTAAATCTGGTTAAATAAATGAATTATGACTTTAGAGTAAAAAAAAAAAAATAGTTTAGTTTATTGAAGCGTTGTTGCATGTCTACCGGTTAAGGATATATAAGAAATTACCAAGTTATTCTTAAGGATAATAACAAAACTGTTTTAGTTTTATTGTTCTCGGATTTTACTTCAATCAAATTTGGTAATCTTTGTTTATTTCATACTGCTTAGCCAACAACCTTTCAAAACAAAAACGCACCGAAATTACCTTCCCCGTAGCAGCAAACCCGAGTAGGTACTCATTGAAATGAACGTTATTTAACGAGGAAATAATCGGACATTTTTCAGAAAATACGAGCTGCTATAGTAACCGAGCTTCGCAACGGGAAGAGAACGTGGTTAAATCGGATGTATAGTTTACAAATCTAGGCCTGTTATGGATCTAAGAATAAACACTTAATTTTAACACCTAACTTTGTGTGTAATAAAATTCTACACAGAAACAGGTACTTTTCCATCCCGTGGATGGAAAGTTACCCTTTGCCATGCCTACACACGGAAAAGTTACGTAATGTAATTTTACGCCACACTACACTATTTTGACGAACTTTCCACGCAAGGATTTAGTCCAGAAACAGCTGTTTGCCGCCAGCTTATTCAAATGGGGTTTCATTGCGTACTACTGTTCTGCAATGAGTTTTACCGGACACCAATCAGCTGATTATACTTGTATTTGCGTGGCAATGAGTGGTTATAAACAAAAACATAACCTCTCTTGGAGGTTATGACTAGTGATTTTTAGTCCTTTAGTTGGTGGAAATATATAAGGATTTGTACGGATTAAGTAGTATGGCGTAAACTATCGTACGTAACTCGTCCAAAATGTGTGTACCGGACTCGTATGGTAATCCCGTACTCGACTTCGTCTCGCACGGGAACGACCACCGGGGCTATAGAATACATTATAGAATACATTATTACATGTATTCTATAGCCCCGAACGACCACACTCGTCCGGTAAACACTTATTTTCAGGACTAGTAACGTAATATACTATTCCCGTCTACTTAGTCAGCTGTTGCTGTTGAAATAAACAGCTAATTTTAACGGCCTATTTTTTTTTAAATATAATATAATGTTCTGTCCTAAATAAATTGTGTTATGAATGAGTTAAATATGTACTGATTTTTCTGTGTAGTATGATGTAAAGTATCGTGTTACTCACCCGGTACTATAGCTACCGTACTCGCACGAAAATCCCGCACTCGGCTACGCCTTCGGTGAAACACCTTACCGGGCTAGAATACTCTAGTAACCAAATACAGTAAGTAGGCATATACTATTTCTTTATGCCAACTGCATTTAGACAAGGTGTTTACGTTTCCCAAGCAGCCATTACAGTTTACAAGTAGTGGTTTGTGTGTTTGAAAATACTGTTACAACTCTATGATTTATTTTAAATACCCCCTCCCTCCGCAGCAAACCTGCAGACTAAACGAATTTCCATTTGCTTGATTGGATTTACATCATCTCCTTAAAAATATCACAAAATTATTCCCTAATTTGAATATAGCATTAGTTTAACAAGTACTTAGGTCTGTTGCAACAGGTAGGGTTTAAAGGGGTTTAAAAAATGTTATTACATGCAGTTTAGTATGAAATAAATGCATTTTCAAAATTTGATCAAAATATGTTCATAAACAAGCTAACTACAACAGTTTACTTATTCTCCATAAGAATAAACATAGGGATTTTAAACTGTTCGAGTTTTATTCGTAACCAGTAAGCGCACAATAATGCTTCAATATACTAAATAATTTGTTTTTTAACTCAACAAAATAGTTTGGAAAGAAATTTGCAAAATGTTATGTTGTCATTACTTTTTATGGATCGCCATATTGGCAATGGAAAGGTTAACAAAAGAATCAATGCATCTGCAGTTTGTTTAGGTAAACTAACGCAGTTTTTACATTTCCTCATTTCCGGTGTAAGTTGCTGATACAAATGTACTACAACTCATTTAATATTTCAAAGTGTAACAATGAACAACGTAAAATCGTTATTTGGGTTAATCTGTTTGTAACACTAAGCTAGCAAGTTAAATGAAAACTATGTATATCATTATAAATTTCAAATTAATTTCTGATTGAAAAAAACGTTGGATGGATACCATAACTAACTATCCTCAAGCAAAGTTTTGCCTAGATAGCAAGTTTTAACTACTTTCTTGCACGAAAAAAAACAGTATAATAAATCACAATACAAGTGTGAAAAATGACAAATTATTGTAAAGCCTTCAAACGGCAGAACACAATTGATATACACAAAATAGTTGAGATAGCATTGACAAATTTGAAGGAGACTGCAGCTGCAGGCGCCGTGGATAGAAGTCGTTCGGAGGTTAAAAAAGAACGACTCTTATTCTGGACTCAACCGAGCTGTTCAGCAAGAGCTGTTCACCTTCAATTTGAATCTCCCGCTCTTTGTCGATCTGTTTTGCTTGTCGACATTTTGCGTGTCGATAAAGTGGGAAAATTTACACAACCGTCCCACGTAACAGACATCCCACATAACCGACATCCCACTTTACAGACATCCTATATTACCGACACTGTCGACATTTTGAGTTGTCGACATTATGGGACTATTTCAGTGTCGATCTTTTGGGATGTCGATAAACTGGGACCCCACGGACGCTTTTACTTGTGTTGTGTTGTCAAGGCACCAACCAGCTAGAGCTGTCTGCAAGTTGACGCAGCTAGTAAAAAGTGGTGTCTGCTAACGGAACGGAATCTTCCTTCTGTTTGTGCTTCCTGAGCTTCAGTGTGTAGGCTACGTACAAAATTGTCATGTTGGCATGTTTTATTATTTTATGATCATTAATTGGCTGCTGACAAATTTATAAAATACTACTTGGTCACACATAACGAAACTACAGAAATCGATCATTAGGATGACGACACTATTGTCCAAGTTGTTTACTTTTATACCTCCAAAATTTGAACTTCCAGTTGTGAGATACAAGCAATTTCATTCTTCAGGTGTAAGGTAGGATGATTTTAGTCCATATTTTTAGTGAGAATTTAAAAATAAATTCCTGTGATATGGTGCTAATATTTTGATGGTTATTCAAGATTGATTTATCTTAAACAAGCATTTAAAGGTTTTAAGTTACCTTTTCCACTATTGATCTAACAAATCAGTGCATGAATCACTAATTCTCTGGATAGGTATCATACTAGGGATACTTTAAATTTTCAACTATAGATCAACCTCTTAAACATTTTATTACTTACCGTGTAGGCCTAGCATTCATGAAAACACATAACTTATAATCACAATTAGGTAAGTTTAACATCTTAAATAAATTAAACTTCAAGAACTTAAGAATTCCCAAAGAATAATATCTTATAAGTGAACTTCTTCAAAGGTTATGCTCCTATCATGTACGGCAACCCTGAATCAAAAAGGGGGAAATCGTAGCCTACTTTTACTCTAAATTATGAGTAGATCATAAGTAATATAGATTATGGCCTATATAAGTTATGCAGAATTAAGTTATTTTCTTTTTCTGTTATGACTAAAGTAACTTATACCAACAATTTGTTAGTTTAAGTTTTATTTTTCAAACAATAGTTGTAATGAATATACCAACGCGTATATTAACAGGTATATGGCGGATAGTAACAAAATTCAAATCAGAATTAAAAAAATATCTAGTAGAGTTAAGTTTAGAGGACATAGACAGTTACCTAGACGGTGACAAAAATTAGTATTAAGCTGGTTATTCTTTGTATTAACCCTGACCTGTCCAATTCCTTAAGGCAAAGGACTACGGACGGAGAGATCATGTATCATGTATCATGTATGTACCTATATCATTGTCTGTTCCCATAAGATTCAAGGCAAAACTCATTGATGGACGTCAGATTGCCAACACAATACTGGCCGAGCTCAGACAGGAGACAGAGGAGTGGGTTGCGGCAGGTAATCGACGTCCCCAACTCACAGCTCTACTGGTTGGAGAAGACCCTGCAAGCACAACTTATGTCAAGAACAAGATGAAGGCTGCTAAACAAGTAGGTGGGTTGTTAGTTTATATTACACATGTCCAAAAATAAGATTAAAGTTTTTTTGCTTTGAATTCAAAGAAGCATGTAAGTTAGGCCCCTATGGCTTCTTTTTCTAACTGAATATTAAAAAAAAAAATCCCGCCCCAACAACTAAAATTTCAGATAGGCCTGCAAGAACCCACCACATTACGCTACGGTGCTAGTGCTCCTAGCGAGCGCTTGGAGGAAGTTTCACTCTGCACGGCCAGGGGCAGGTCAGTACCGGCCTTGCTTCTGTGTTGTGAAGCTGTAACCTGGTTCTCGGCCGGCTAGCTTGGTGGCGAATTGTAGCGTCAGTTCAGTGTTTTGTTTTTATCTGTGTTAAGCTGTAAGGTTGTAACTAGGCTATAGCAATGTATTAACAGTTTTTCTATTCAGTGTTTGTATATTTTTCAATTTTTGTTTCACTATGTACTTGATTGTTGTATATCCTATATGTTGTAAATAGTTGTTTTTCAGCAAGAAGTTTGGTGGCTGGCCGGCCACCTTTTGAGAGCCAATTTAGATTAATGTAGCATTAATATTTGTTCACTTGATAACGGGAGGAGTTTATCCACCTTCAGAAACGTTGTGTAGTATAAAACACTTTTGGAGGATTCCAATTCAGTAACATAACATAAAAACTAATGTCATTATGAATTTAAAAAATTCTTTAAAGTATTATTTTGAAATTCAAAATTAGGTAGATAAAAATAACTTAGGACCTCAAGATCTTAAAACTAAAGGCGAAAGGGTGAACATTTGAGTTATTGAGTTTTTTAAGTATGTGAGGGTTGAGTTATCAAGGTGTGTTATCAAAAAGTCCAAATACTGAGGTGTTGAACTCTCACAACCTTCATAACTTGTCTTTTATATGTGACTAGTACCGTAAGATTGCATATTAATCTTGAAATACCATAGGTATGTATTTTTAGTGCTGTATCTAGAAAATATTTCTTTTTCATTATAATGATATTTCCAGGAATCCAAACCAAAACAATCCACTGTTTGATGAGCATATCAGAGAAGGATCTTCTACAGCACATCCACCTTTTAAACAATGATCCAGAAGTTGATGGAATTTTAGTCCAGGTATACAATACTTGGTCATCAGACATAGCCGCGAGTAATTACCATTTGACTGTATGGCTTTCAATCAACAGCTGATCACAGCCAGCAAATCAACTTAAAAAATCAGTTTAGCCATAATTCTTTCTAAATTGAAACATTACTTTTGTCAACCAGCTCCTGTAGTGCAACAAATGTTACGGCCGTTTCAGTATCACTGTGTCATTAATCACGCCTTTTGGCTGAAGGTATGTCTGATAATGGCAGTGATGCTGAAACGGCCGTAAAATTTGTTACACTACAGGAGCCGGTTGACGAAGGTAATATTTCAATTTAGTTTTAGAACCAGCTCAGGGGCTAGAAAATATGGATTATAAATATTTCTTTCCTTTTTTAAGAGATAAAATCAACTAAAAGTTTATTTAGTGTACATATACCACGCTTAGGACTATTTTGTGTTCTAGTACAGTGGAATATGCTTATTTGAATTTCCTTAACTTAAAAACTTCTTAAATTAAAACTTTTCCCTCGGTCCCTAGAATTACCCTACTCTAGACCTATGTTAGGCCTACATTGCACGGTGTTGCGATGTGGTTAGTGATGTAAGCCGGGTAAATACCCAGTGGGTAGGGTATTTATAAATGGGTATTTACCTGCAGTTATATCCGGGTCTCTATTGCTATTTCACATCTCTATATGTGTCTTATATTGCCCACTACTATCCAGTCAAGGTCCATTGTGTTCTCCTCCCCTACTCCACCCTCAACATTGACATTGCTATTTTGCCATTGGTCGGTCACCTCCTGGCCAGATCCTTACCTACCAACCGAGGTTTTGTTCAGTAGTCATACAAAGCACTTCATACTCAGTTTTCACTTATCATCTTTTAATTTTGTATGTAAGTTTAGACATTGTTTACACTTGCTAAATCGAGCAACAATGTAGCCAACTTGAAAAATCTTTGACTCCTGCTGAAAAAGTAGGAGAGATATAGATATAATACCTTACATTGTTTGAATGCCTGTATTTTAACTGCAGTAAATGCAATCAAAAGTGGGATTTTTAAAATTTCAAACCTCTTTACTTATCTTTTCTAGGCCACGGTAAATTTTTGTTTGGTAGTTTGAATTTTTTTGGTCCCTTGGTTTTGTTCCACTGTATTAGTTTAATTTGTATCCACCCTTGTTTCAGCTTCCAATCCCAGACCACATAACAGAAAGAGCGATCTGTAATGCCGTGGCACCATCAAAAGATGTAGATGGTTTCAACATTGTAAACGTCGGCCGTTTCTGTTTAGACATGAGGACACTTGTCCCTTGCACACCCCTAGGAGTGCAGGAACTCATCAAAAGATCAGGTGACTCATTGCTCAAGAATTGTTAACATGCAGATTTTTTTTTGTTTTTTTTTACTTTTGAAAACTTAATTGAAGGGATTATTTATTGATTTGGCTTTGGCTCTTTTAAAGGCCAAGATTAAAACACTCTTTAGTCGTGATTTCCATTTTGTTTTTTGTGAGTTAAAATCTCCGTCTCACTCAAGGTCAAGACAACAATGGTCTGATGTACAATAGCGTTTTGTTACTTTTAACCGATCCTTAATGTGTGTCAGTCGAAAACAAGTTTCATGATCAATTGGATTTGTGTCCACCTATCATAAGTTGTTACACCTACGTTTTTTGCAATTGTTCTTTGAGATAGGGAATAAATTAAATAATACACGCATCATGGTTAAGTTAATCAATACAGTAGTACCCGTTCGAATTTAAAAGTGTTATTTAACCTGTACAAAAGCATTGATCTCAATCATGCTAGGTTACCATTTTTAGAATAAAACAATGAATTTAACTGTTCAGGTATTTCAACATTTGGAAAAAACGCAGTCGTCTGTGGTCGTTCAAAGAACGTGGGAATGCCTATTGCGATGCTTCTTCATGCGGATGGAGCAGGTAATTACAAATTACCTGTTTAAAATATCTGTACTAGGTATATCCTTGTTGTCATGGGCATACATTTAAATAGTGTCTTAAAAGCTAAAGTTCTCAGATATTAAATGCTAACATGCTAGCTAGTATTTACTTGATCTTTTTCATTTTATATCTGTGCCCTACTTAAATTCACAAACTGACATTATTCACATTTTTTAAATGGGGCAGTCCAGACCCAGTCTTGTTATTATTATATGGCAACTAAATTATACCAGCCTAACAACAATAGGATCCAGAATTGATTCCACTCTGGATTACACCAACTTTCAGATTTGAAGGCGAACACTATATGAACATGCAACTACCCAAACAATCGAGTTTTATTTGTTAACCAAGCATTGTATAGTTTATAAGAATTGTACTAGCTAAAAAAATAGTTTTCACTTGTATTGAAGTCCATTTTAAATGAGGCGCTAAGATCATGATCAGGTCAAAAAATGTCATCATCACTTCTTCAGAAGGTCGTCAATCTATATATAGTACACAGACACATGAACATTGAAACAATAAAAATGTACATTTACTTTCCTAACTCAACATCCTTTCAGGCGTGTTGCATTATTCCCATAACATTGTTATTTTTTTGTCACTTGTCTATACGTATTATGTGAATCGACAACATTCTGGTGAAGTGATCCTGACATTCTCTTAAAAGGTTAAACTATTTGCTGTATTAGCAACAATTTGGATTACGAAGCAGGTATTTATATCGATATTCAACGTAATTCGGAGGCTAACGTCAAAAAACCAAACCACATGGGATTCAAATAACAATTTGCAAACTAGCGACCCTGTTTACACATGAACATTTAGTTACTGCTGCTACAACAGTGAAAACATAAAGTTAGTCTTTACTGACAAGTTTGAACGTGTTCCTGCAGGTGAGACAAACGCGATGGACGCAACCACTACGATCTGCCACAGGTACACTCCTCCGGAACAGCTGGCCGTCTTCACCAAGACAGCTGACATCATTGTATCAGCCGCAGGTAGGTACATGTGGTCTCATTTAGGTGTAAACTGTGTAGGCCTATTCCAAATTCAATTTCTATGTTATAGTTTTCCTGCAAATTTGGTGTAAGGTGACACAAAGTTTATAGTTAGTGATACAAAATTTGGGGACTAAGATGGGATCTGATCTGAGTGATATAATGAGCAATGTTTGCTTGTATGTATGCTTGCACAAAGATCTCAAAAAGGGCTTCAATGATTTCCTTCAAATGCTATAATATAATATACTTTATTATAAAATTAAAGGGGTTAGGATCATCAGGTATTTGGTTTTAAAATATAGATACCACATCAACACATTAGGATGTGTATTTTAAGGAGAAGATGATTGAGTAAGATGTCAGCTTTGATACTGAATACAATCAGCTGGTTCATTAGTCAGGATAATTCATTTTATGCTCAATGATCAAACAGATGGGTATTTTTATTAGGAACAAAAAAATCTGCAGAAACAGCTGTTTTAAGTACATGGGTTGCGGGTCTATAGTAGCATTTTTACTCCCTAGGGCCTAGAGAGTAAAAAGTGTTTTTAGCCCCCTAGGGAGCAAAAATCAGCTGTTGTCAACTCAGTTGTAAATTTTGATTATAAACAACTGAAAGCATAGAACCTCGCTAATTCAAATTTCAGAGGAAAGACAATATATTTTGAATTATAGGAACTTTGAAATATAGAGAGTTTGAATTATAGAGGTCAGAATTAATAAAATTCAAATTATGGAGGTCCCAGTTTTAAGTGTAGAGAGTTTGAGAGAACGGAGACTAATGAACACATTGTGGATTATCAATAAGAGCGTCAGTTCATGTTTCAACAGGCATATTTTTTGTTCTAAATTCGAATTCGGAATTACAGAGGCTTACGGTGACGCAGTTCGAATTGTTGAGGTTGACTTCGAATTTTGGAGGTAACAATTCGAATTATGGCAACAAAATTTTAATTGTAGAGGCTCAAGTATGTACAAATTTGAATTGTAGAGGTAGCAATAATCGAAAAAATCACTTTCAATTATCAGTATATTATTTGTCGAATTTTAGAGGTTTTCTGAGGGTAACAGACAAACATTACTTTATAGAGGTTTTCGAATTATCGAGGTACGAATTAGTGAGGTTCTACTGTATATTGATTGTTTAATCGCTTGTAGCTTATTGTTGCCTTCTTGTAAATAGTTTGACATATCGATAGTATAATGTAATAAGCACATTATCGATAGTACACAATCGCAATAGACGAAAGGATTGAATCACTGACTTAACAGCTGCTTGTTTGCATTAGCAAATTAAATTGAAAATAAGTTTAAGTAGCATTGAGGGGTTATCTTTAAATGAAAAATATTTTAGTTTTGTAAATTAATTTGTTGAAATAATGGAGCAATATGACACAAAATATAGTTCATCACACGAGCAAAAAGTGACTTTTCAACCCTGGCTCATTTTCCGAGCTTGGGTCGAAAAGAGTACTTTACGCCCCAGTGATGAAATATACTATTTACACTCTGAAATATCACCCTGAAGACCGATAACAACCATTAACACCTCAAAAATATCAACCCATTCAAACCATCTAGTTAAGGGGAGGCTCAGATCCCCCAGTTTTGTTGGGTATCTAAAACATTTTCGTACAATCATTTGAAATCTAAATCATCAGTGGATTATATAATTGGTTGAAAGTTAAGGGTGGAGTGAGTAATCGTCCAAAAACATTAGTATACTCTACTTAAATAATCTTTACACTTTTTATCACATCAAATTACAACCATATTTTATAGCTAATGAGATTATTTCTAGGAGTTCCGAACCTGATACAGGCCGATATGGTGAAAGAGGGAGCTTGTGTCATTGACGTTGGAATCACCAGAATCATCGACAAGGCTACTGGGAAAAATCGTCTCGTTGGTGACGTAGACTTTGAAGGTTAGTGTCCACTTTTTGAACCAGTACTGTTGAAATTCACGTTGAATACATTATCAAAGGCTTTCCATAAATATTTTTATGTTTTAAATGAGTTTTGCATAATTTATTGTTTTAAGTAGGTAAAGTAAAACCGCGTTTACACAAAGCCATTTGACGAGCAGGTCACCTGCTTCAGGTACCTTGAAATACATTAGAGGCAGGTAACCTGCCTGCATATTGGCCTCGTGGCAATGCTGCTTAAGGGATGAGAAAAATACCTCTTTAGGACTGTCCAAGATTAGCCAATCATACTTCTAAAATTCCATTAGTTTCCCCAAATGGTATCTTATAACCCCAAGCCGAAGCAGCATATTCCAAATATACACTTCTCGAAACCGTCTCGGTGATTGTCATAAAATTTGTAATTTTTGTCAAGAGTTTAATTTATTTGTTTATGGCACTATTTTGGAACTCGTACTGTTAGTTAAAATGTAAATTCCATTTCCAATAAAAATAGATTATTTTTATTTGTCTGTATTTGGTTTCAGGCCGTGGTTTTCAAATTGGTCCCGTTTGATTATGAATGAACATCGGGTTGTTTCAATGTCCATTCCCACAGGAGGAAAGGCCTGTTTAGGCCATGTTACACTCCTTTCCGCTTAATTTATTTTCTCTTCTTGCAGTATGTAAGTAAACACTTACAGTCTCTTGGCCGGATATAAAACTATCCAGCATAAATAGTTCTGCTACATGTAAAATTACAATTACCGGTACTTAGGTTTCTCAGTTTAATTTGAAGTTATTACTCCTAGTGCAATTTGATTCTGATTGAGTTTTTAAAACGAATATACTTTACAAAACTATGTTGTATTAGATAAATTGTTAGGAAGCTGTTGACATAAGCATAACTTGTAATCCTCTAATTAACCTGCATGTACAAATTTAATCCTCCAAAGGCAGCTTAAGCCAAGTTTTCATGTATCTTTTTGAGCTTTTATAAAATTAATTTTTCTAGCTCTAAATCTAAAGCAGGTTTTTTACGTATGTTAATTGGAGAAACTTAAAGAGTGTAATACATGTTTATTGCTTTAATGCTATGTTGTTGTCCACCAATATAAATTTATACCAATATAAAATTACAAAGTTTATTTGCTATTCTAATTCTACTTTGATGAGCTACTCTTATTTTATAATTGTTATTCAATCTAATCACCATCAAGAGCTGAACCCTTCCATTCATATTCAGTTTAAATAGTGCACCAAAGTTTGCATTGCTGTCACAAAAAATTTAATTGTATTGAACCCTTGCTAACTGAAACAGCATACCTAATTACCTTGACATAAAACATCAAGATTAAAAATTGATTTCAGAAGGTTTATAGTGGTCGTTATTGGCGACTTGACATTTATGTGTCATACTTACTTACTAGGTATTTATTTCTATAACTAATTTTTCCGTTCCAGGAGTCAGCGAGGTGGCTGGTCACATCACGCCCGTGCCCGGAGGCGTGGGACCGATGACGGTGGCGATGTTGATGAGGAACACACTCCTCGCTGCCAAACACGCTGTCATCTACAACATCCTGGACCCTGGAGCAGTCATACATAAGGAGGCCAGTCAACTACGTCCTTGATCTCGGCTCTACACTGACGACCCTTGTTGAATCCATCGCTAAACAAGTCGCCAGTTTTTGTGTAACAGTGTTCTTTAAAGCTGCAGCTTTGATATCGGTGCCTTTAATATTTTTCTTGTTCATCTGATGTTGATCTGAGTTGGACTGCTAAAAAGAATTTTTCTAAAACAAATGGTATACACCATGCTTTGTTGAGTACGAGTGGTATGAATTGCACAAAAATTGCACAATGAAACCACACATTGTGAATCTACCTCAAACAATGACCTTGTGCATGTTCATATTTAAATAACTCAGAAACCGTAAAAACAACTATTAAAGTGGGTGTATCTTTTATTTGATATGTTTGACATTCTTAAACAAGTGACACACATTTTGATTATAGACCATTTTCTTTTTAGCTGTTCGACTGAAAAGTTTTCTTTACTGTGATAGGTGCTAGCACACCTAAACGTGTCTTATTTGCTCAAAGTGTTGCATAAAAATCTACTAGTTTAAAATTAGTAACATTTATTTGCTTTAGTTAAGTCATTATATTTTATTGTGAGTATGGATACCAAGTACATGGAGAGAATTTTACCTCAAGATTGTGAAAAACTTCAGTATTAAAATAATTATGTTACACATCCTTATTCTTCTCAGTCGACTAGGTAAACTATGCTTGATTGAATTATTAATGTTGTATTTCAAATGCTTTGCATTGTATTTAGGGCCTTCTAAACCAAAAAGTAGTTTTGAGTTCCAAAATACAGTATAATCTAATTAAAAATCTCTATATTAATATTTTTTTATTTAACCTGGTGGATTATTTGTACAGGCAGGGTACTTAGTTTCAAAATACATTATAATATAATATTATTTATAAAAGAACCCTATTTCAATGGAGATATGTTTACCAACCAGTTAACAAAGGATGAAACTTTAAAGTTAGGTTAGGTAATAAGGACAAGTTAGGCAATGTATTTTAATCATTACTTCATCAAAAACCTTACCAAAAAGACCGATTTGTCTAAAAATGTAGAGATAGGTAAATGGAAGCTGGCTTTTGCTATACCAACGTAGACAGAGTTTAAGGCTCCCTTAATATAACTCAGTAATTGTGAGAATAAAACTTCAAGTATTCGTGAAAGTGGCATTAATAAAATACAGTAGAACTCCGAAAACCCTAACTCCAACTATTCGAGGTGCACAAAATAACAAAGAATCGTTATTAAAGAAGGCTGATGTCATGGTCAAAGAAAAATCTGAACATCTCCCCGCGGTCTGCAACCATCATAGCCCCCCAAAGTCACAAAAGCCTTTACAGTAGACTCCCTCTTATCCGTACACTTTTTAACCGGACATCAGTTTAGACATGACATCTCTCAACCGGTCAATTTTTATTAGCACAGCGGTTTAACCGGACTAGATCGGCAGGGAGTATGCAGTACTGAAACGACTGCTCTCGTGGGAAAGATTTGAGACCAGTGATCACGTGTCTAAATACAATGCTCACCTTAATTTAATTCAAATACTGTATACAATATGCATTTAAACGGTCCGTTTTAACAAGTTTTTGGGGACGTCGGTTTAACCGGAAAAACCTCCTCGGGACCAAGGCCAGTCCGGATAAGAGGAAGTCTACTGTATCATCGTACCAAAATCTTTGCAGACATGTTCTATGATTGCCATAACATTGTAATATGAAAATATTGGTTTGAGCTCAATGATTCAAGCTTTGAGGATAGGCTTAGCTTGTAAAATCTTTATCACTACAAGGTTAACTTCCAACGATCCAAACTTTAGATCATCTGAATGTGGTATGGTTGGTCCCCATGATTAGGATGATTGGAGTTCTATTGTAAATTTATGTAGCTCTCACAGCTTGCTTGGTATAATAAATAAAGGCCTTTTATTCATCTTATACTTCATCTTGTGAAAATTGTGGTTTAATTTTGTAATTTGGATTAGTTTGTGTAAACTTAAGACTGTGCTGTGAGTTTTGTTTTCATCCCAGAATTTGGTTGTGATTATTTTGTTGTTTTATTGATTGCACTGTAAAATGTAGTGATCGCGAGAATTTGCACTGCACCTTCACACACAAGCCTATACACACTCAAATCGTTTGAAATGTTTCTGTGTGTCACTGTGTGTTAATTCGTAAATCATGCAAAATCTAAATTGCTGAAAAAATAAATATAGTAATTAATAACGTATTTCTCAGTAAGGAAGTAGTGTTCACCTTTAGCAATGTTCTCAAACACAAATTTAATAAATGTTGTCTTCCTATTCATTAAAGCACTTAGTTCACTATGCAATAAGCATTTATTAAAAATATTTTGGAAGAATGTAAAAACACAATAAGAAATTGTATTCTCCTCTTTTTCATTTGGAGTGTACTCAAGCATATTAATTAGAGGCAAAATAGTTTAATATAACCAACCACAAATTTTGACATATGATTTGAATAGATTTAATAGAAACCTTTTTGTACTCCAAGTAAATACACTGTAAATCTACACGATAAGTTTGATTTCTCTTTGTGTGTGGAGCAGGTTATACCATTGATAGTCTATTATTCTTTGTCAAATCCTGTGATGTATAATTTAGGCACGTCTACTTATTTCATAAAATTTTGTACGTTTTTTACTGAAACAAATTCTTGCACGTAAAGCTATCTCTTGTAGTATTATTTTCTGAGAAATGGGTCATCTTAATTTTTTAACTAGAAGTGAAATTATCCTCTTACAAGATGTTAAAATGATATTTTACTGTTAAACTTCAAAATGTTTATATTTAAGTGTCAAAACGTTTTCTACCAGTGCTGTGCTAGTTCTGTTCTTTATTAGGCCTACTTAGCCAGTGCTTTCAAATTTCTAGAACAAAACTTGTAAGCTTGTTGTTCCAATTCAAAGAATACATAAGATGACTAGCACGTTGGGACTTAAAACTTTCACATGAGCTCAGCAATAATTATTTTGGAGCAGGAAAATCGCTGCATATTCCTTGTGCTAACCTATTTATCTACTCTATTTATTAACTCTCACGTTGGATCTTGTATGATTGTATATGCTTGCAAAACATGTTCATGGTTTCAAGAAATAGCTTTTATTATACTAGGACTGTTATAAATGTTTTTATTTTGTTGTTTTTACTGTCTACGAACTAGGACTTCTGTTTTTATATTTACAATTGTTCTTAAAGTTTTTGCTACAAAAATAAAAATGTACAAAATTAACTAGAGTTAATGTTATTTTAAAATTCCTTTTAACTTATCGTTCTTCAGCTTGTCCTACCAGTTATCTTGGAGGATTCCAGTATATCATTGAATCGTAAAGTTTACTAATTTTCTAGTTCTAAGTAGTGTAGCGTGCATGAAATGTAGTGATTAATATTTTCAGGAAGGTTATGTTAATAATAGGTTAAATGGGTAAATTTCATGGCTTCAACAGTATGATACTAAAATTTTGAAATCACATACGGTATTATTTTTAAAAAATTGTATATTTTATCACTAGGGCGTAAAGTGACTCTTTACACCAAGGCGAAGCCGAGATCAGAAAATGAGTAGGGTTGAAAAGACACTTTTGTCCGTATGATTACTTATATTTTATATCATATTGCAATATTATTTAACAAACTTAGCTACAAAACAATACACTTTTCATGTAAAGATAACTATCAAAACAACTTTCAACTTGTTTTAAATTTTGCTAACGCAAACAATCAGCTGTTTATTAGTTTATTAAATGATTCTTTCTCCCATTAGCTTGTCCATTAATTAGTATTTTTACAATATTATGCTTAATGCTTTGATGGAAAGTGGTCCAAACCATTAAAAATTGCAAGTGGGCATCCGGGGAATCAAATTAAAATTTAATCAAAAATGTTCAAGCCTTAATCTAATTTTTCCTTTATTTAATGGGTTTTATGGAAAAATTATACCATTAAATATCCAAATTAAGAAAAACCAGAGATACCATGAATTAGTAACCACTTGCTACATTTCATCAAAATCGGACCACACGTGTCGTCTGTAGCGTTACACATCCACAAAGATCACTTCAATAACCTTTTTTTTAGTTTAGAGGGAGAAAGTAATAAGGTGAAGTCAGCAGTTATTAATTAGCATCTAATAAATCTGCATAAACCCGGCAGTCACAAAATTAATAATAAAATTTAAGGGAGCTGCTGAACTTTCTAATATTTAATATCTATTATAAAATTGGTAAAAGATGTAATTATGTAATTTCTCTTGGGAAAAACACGGCAGAGACTAAAGAGCTATTTTTATTAGTTTTTTCTGCTAATTACCTACAAATATGTTTATTAATAAACTGAAAATTATTGTGTGAAGGAATAAATTAACTTGGGTATTTTAATCAGATAACATTATTTATTCATTAACGATATTATTTACAATAAGTTATCAACTTTTAGCTTTCTATACAACATTAAATAACTAAACCTATAAGCATTAATAAATTCATCCATTTTCTTGACTCTGTTTTTTTGAAGACCTTTTTTTACCTACTTCGTTCTTATTTTCTTTTTCTTCCGCCTTCGTGTTACCTTCTATTTTAAAATCTTCAATTGTTTTCGGTGTTTTCATCTCAATCTCGACAATATTTTTGGACTGGATGTCTTTTTCGTCCTTACTCATCACGGGGGACTTTTCATTGAGATTACCATAAACCGCTTTCATTTCTTTCAATAGAGAGGCGGAGCTTAAAGGAGTCATATTTTTTACTTTAAGTTGAAGACGTTCGTAAGCTGATAACGATTCAGGGTCAACCTCTTTCTTCTGCACTCTTACTGTAAACATTTTGAAGTGCTCTAGAATATCATCTGTAACAATAAGAGAGTAGTGAGTAAATGGATTATTGTTAAATGAAAAGCATCATACTTACATTGGCTTCCTATATAAGTTACATGAGCTATGAATTGGAAAAGTGAAAAAATGCTAAAAGCTATCAATACTCCCCTTTGGGGAGTCAAGCATAATAATTATGTTGTTACGAATGTTTCTATTGAAAGAAAAATAAAAATAGCAAAGTAATTTGTGATTTCTTATAATTGTGTAAAACTGTAAAGTGAGGTTATCCCACACTTTTAAAAACCATGGTTTTTGCCCCTTATCTTTTACCATATTTGTGTTGACTGTAATTTGTAATGTGCTAAATGTGCATATACTCTCTACGAAACCCATCGGGTGGATTCTACTATAAATATTTGGTCTACCTAGACTCCGACTGAGGATGACTACGCTGTACCGTAACCCCTAACCTCAAAATCTATGATATCTCTGAGTTATCAGAGATTCTCGGTAACCGATGTAGTCTCAGTCCCAACAACCTCAGTTAATCGAGAGTGTACTGTACTAATTTTTGGTATCTGCTTTCCCCTGGAGTGTTGGCGCAGCTTGGATAGAAATATTCTAAAGGTAAGTATTTATGAATCACACCTAACTCTTGTTTCTACCTCTGACGTGTGTGACCCCCTAACAACTTTTTTGCGGGAAATTTAAATATTTGTCTGGATACGATTGGGGTACTAAAATCATAGTAAAAATGTACATAATAAATTCATACTTTTATCCCTGGATCTCCAAGAGCTTAGGGAAAACAGTTTCAAATAAAATTAAGCCCAGTGCCCTCGATTTTTCATACAAAGACTTGAGTAAACTTACTTGAGTCTGCAAGTGCTATCTTGTACTGAGAGGCAATGGCCGCTTGGCTGTACTTCTTTGGGTCGTCCTGATGACTGCTGATGAAGGCAAGAGCTTGCTTCAGAGTCACTTTACCCTCAGGTACAAGGGCTTCTTCACTTGCACTGTAGCCATAGGTTATTTCATTGTCCGTTGTTCTAATAATTGGTAATGGTCGTTTTGGGTCTATTTTTCTCTCCAACTAAAATTGTTAAATAGAAATATGACTTTATTAAATTTTGGTTGGATTTTAAAATAAAGACATGTTGGTTTATGAGTATGAAATTTCTTTGGAAAAGGGATTGAATTAGGCGAGTTTATCCATGAATACTCTAGCCTAGTCTAGGAGTTTTTACAAGAACCAAAAAAATACAACAATGATATTTTGTTCTAATATAGGACTGCTCAATTTACCTTAAAAACACTAAGATAAAACATTAACATTATTTGGATATTTTTGTGGATCTCTCAACTCCTGGATATTAATTGCATCAGATAAGAACCTGGGAGAGTTCTACAAAGATCTTAAGCCTGGTTTACACGGGTCGAGTATGTCAGACGAGTTATTCGGCCTAGCTACTAGGCCCAGTTGTTGATTTGTTCAACTAGACTGTCTACGCATTCCTATTTCGAACAGCGACAGTGTAGGCACAGAGATGTAATTTTTATAATTTCTCTGTGTTCTGTGGTGTAGGGTATTCCGTATACCGTAGCTTTTGTGTTCAATGTTGTTTGAGTTTAAAATGGGACTTCAAGAGTTTAATGCTGAATTTATAAATTAATTAAATCACTGAATTAGATTATTAGAATTAAAACTGAATCACCTCTTAAATTCAGGGGTTGCTTAAAAGTTTTTTTTGCAAATAACTTACGCTATAGACCAAAGTGGAAAAGAATAAGATTGGTTACAAATTACTATACCGGTACTGCATTTCTTTAAAATAAAATATATAAGCCAAGGCAATGCCTCCAAATAAAAGAAATATGAAAACACTGTTTTCAATGTATTTCTGATAGAAAACATTTTTAGGGAGTGAGCTTTCTAACAACCCATTGATTAATAAAATCGTTCTAGTAGAACTATAGATCTTCAGTTGCACAACAATTTTGAAAACTGAATTTTATAAGAGTGAGTAGATTTACGAACAGCAAGACAATGCAACACAGGGCCAACTGTTCAACTGAACCATTGAGTATTGAGGGTGATTAGGTATACACTACTGAACTAACCTTAATACTGATCGTTGTGATCAACTCACTCAGCGATCACAAAATTTAAAAAAAATATTTTTATTCTGTGGTCGCTGGACTCACTTAATAGCAGTAAAAAGATGTTTTGCGGGCAAATCGTGGTGGTGGGGGTAGCTACTGGGCCGAGCAACTCGGTTTTCAACTAAATCACTCGACTCGCTCTCAACTGACCTCTTTTTATCAACTCGCCCGTTGCTCAAATCGCCTGCATGTCTACACCAAGCGAGTTAATGAGCGAGTGGCAACTCGCACACTGACTCGCCCGCCGTACTCGACCCTTGTAAACCAGGATTTAGGTTAAAAAGTGAATATCCTTCAGCAATGAAAGCTACAGGTATTTTTTAGCTTACTTTTGATATTTATATGCAAGCAAAAAATTTTACTACACTCGATAAGTTGGCTCCCTGGACAAAGAAATTCTATGGTATGGTACCGTATCTACGTGACTCTTGATTGACTGATATGGTCACATTGATTTGATCATTTCTCGCTGCGACAATGTCACCTAGCAAGGCTTATGAATATAAACTACTAGTAGGCCTACTTTACAACATATGTTGGTTAAAGGCCTACAAACCAAATCAGTCGGTGGGGCACAGGGGAAGTACGATGGCTCACATATCTTGTAATGTCTGCGTTCGCCGCTAGAACCGCTAAGTTGAAAAATGTAAATTAATTTTATAATTTTTAGTTATAAAATTAACTTTTTAATTATGTTTACAAAAATCGGCTTAGCGTATTATATATATAGATTAAACCGTCATAACCTAACCTAACCAACCAATCTTGCTGATAATATAAAAAAGATATAAGATAAAAATCAAATAATGCAAAATCTGACAAAAAGTTAGTGTCCCCGAAGGGTTTCGAACTCAAGACCTCCTGAACACTAGTCCGATGAGCTATCAACTATGCCACGAACGCCACTGGAATCCCATCGTCTCGTTACGGTACTTGTGTTGCCTCAAGAGAAGACATTAGCCACTAAAGATATGACGTCACCACACCTTTAGCCATCGTCCCTCCTGCATGCCCATTCGCCAAATCAGTATTTTGTATTAACTTGTTTATCCACATGTACAAGGGTGTTGGCCTAAACAATGTCCAAAAACATTTTAATACTGCAAAGACTAATATATAGGCCCCTATATATATATATATATATATATATATATATATATATATATATATATATATATATATATATATATGTTTTTAAACTTTGTTTGGTATGTGTGTATTCTATTTTTTTACAATGCAACAAAGTAAGTTAGCATGGCTACTTACTGGAGGGGCTGGATCTGGGGAAGAAACATACACTTTCTTCAAATATCCATCAAGTCTTTCATCTTTTTTATGCAAGTATTCGGTTGATACATTGTCTGAAAAATATAGTAGAAATATTTATTTTAAGTTAGAAAGTGATGAGAATCTTATCACTGAAATAAGAACAACACAACAGATTTATTGACTTCTCTTTCTCCCTGCCTCTGTTAACTTACTTATTGTAAAATGTACTTAATGTTTGAACCAAATGACTTCCAGAACCAATCGTGAACTTCAATCCTTAACCTCATCTTACAAGAACATAACCTTTGTCCCAGTACCATCCTTTACCCACCCCAGGCAATTACACAAAAAAAATATTTGATATGTCTACAATGCGATATCGTGTAATTTTTAGATGTCTACTTACAGTTTTTTTCACGCTGAATCCAAAAATGCAATCAGTTTTTGTCGGAGAGATTCATAAGTGGCTGTAAAACGAAGGTTAAAATTTTACTAATCTAAGGTTCATTGAGCTATACGGATGGTAATATAGCGTTGTTTGGACGGGTCCGTATGTGGACTGTGGACTGAGTGAGGAGGAGAGCAAACAGCTGTTTATAATCGACTTAATGCGGAATGAAATCAATTAGTTTTGAAACCAAATAATCAGTTCTTATTTAGGCATGTGAGGAAGGTCGGTCGGGTTTTATGCTGATTCGTGACTGTATTAAGTCCTTTGAAGTGAGGTTAGATTAGGTAAGTTAAAGGTTAGGTTATAATGAACCGACTCATTAATTTATGCTACTTCCAGACTGTTTTTGCACAATTAACCCTTTCAGTGCTATGAAACGATATATCGTTGTTTTAAAAAATCTCTAAGGGATATAGAGAGGAAGGTTATTTTAACAAAAAATAGCAAAACGGCCATTGGTGACCTGCATGTTCATAGGATACACTATCAACCACTTAGCTAAAAGATTCGCCCAATCCGATGATTTCGAGGTGTATGTCTAAACCAAGGATTATGAACACCTCACTATGCCCCAGTGGTTGTAGTATATAGCTACAAACACACAGGTCACCAATTATTTGCCACACAGGACGGGATTCGAACCCGAGCAGACGAATGCCACTGGCCAAGTGACACACGCCCTAGCCTTCTCGGCTATCTGTGCTTGAAGACTGGGGAGTCAAATCCCGGTATTTAAGCTGTCGCCACCGATTGCGAACAGATGGCGCTGCAGATGGTTGTTCAATGCGTTACTAGGTAGCAGCACCGGTTAGTCACGGACTATTTAGATGCAATCTTTTAGTTTAAACACAACAGTGATCATAAATGTGTTCCTGAGACTTTGCTGCAAAACATTAGTTTCCCTAAAATGGCTATATTACGATAACCTTGTCCAACTTAATCAAGGTTAAATTCAATATTACATTGTAAACTATATGTCATTTGATTTTATGAGATTTTGGTTTCAAATAATGCTATCAGAACATAAAAATTTATAGGAAAACCAGGAAAATTACAACAAAAACTAAGTTTTATTTAATGTTTACTACAAATAGCGGGATTTATCTTTCTTATATATTTTCTTATTGTGTTATTATTCAAAATTAGCCTAATTAATAAAAGAGTGACAACATGACAGTTAAAATTCAACAACAGGTAATGGATTTAAAAGGCAAACAAAAAAGTCTTACAAAATATGAATTATTGGCCTAGCACTGAAAGGGTTAAATAGTGGGTGAAACACAATGAAATAACAATATCAAAAATGTGCAAGCTTGAGCGCTCAATAAATTAATGAGTCGGTTCATTATAACCTAACCTTTAACTTACCTAATCTAACCTCACTTTAAAGGACTTAATACAGTCACGAATCCGCATAAAGTCCGACCTATCTTCCTCACACGTCTTTTCTGACATAAAATGTAATTTAACAATTAATATTAAGGTTCGGTTGCGTTAGGTTAGGTTAGATTAGATTATGTAACATAATTTATTAGTTGCTGATACATGAAATTATGCACTGTGCCACGTTTTCACTTTTAGGCACAATGGGATTATGTACTATGTGATTATGCACTATGGCCAAGGCCACACTAAAAAAACTGGCACGTTCATTAACAGACGTTGAGGATTGGAATGAGGACGATCATGTCGGCAGTGGCCTAGCTTCTATTACTGATATTTTACGTGAATAAATTCTATTTTTTTTTTTATTTATGTTGATGTGATTAAAGTTTATGTACCTATCGTAGTTGATTTAGGCTATTGTATTTTCTAAACGGTGCCGAAGTCCATTTTCTTTTAAAAATCGAGTTACCGGTATTGCATATTGTAACTCTGATTTTGCTCTCATGGCGTCGTGTGTGGTTTTGTCTGTTTAGTATTGAATGTAAACAACTTACAGCTGTTTCCACTCCACAAACCTTCCACCCTTTTTAGGGTTAGTCGCCAAACTAGAACTTGGAGTCGTCCAAACCACGAATAGGTGAATAACCCAAGAAAACTGAAGCTTAATATTAATTATTTAACTTTACGGCAACTTAGGAATCTTTCCGACAAAAACTGATTGCATTTTTGCATTCAACGTGAAAAATACTATAAGTAGAGATCTAAAAATTACACGATATCACATCACATTGTCGATAGCCTATCAAATAACTACCAAAAGGACTCCAACAAAGGAGCCCACAAAAAGGGCTGGTTGTGCTCCTTACAAAATAGATACGCAATCCCATGATTTTGATGATATCCCATCCTGTATCAGGCCCTGTTCCAAGTACCATCACATCAATGTCATGTGAAAATCAGCCATACAAGTCAACTAAACCCCCTAAATATGCCCATTTGTTGGAAATTCTCTAAGTAGGGCCTAGTTCCACTTCCCGGTATTACCATTCTTCTAAAAGTTGCACAATTACAAATAGGTAGGTAGCCATTTTTTAGGGGATGCAGACCTGTGGGTGTCCCCTGGGGCATTCTGATTGTGTTGACATTTACTGTCCAAAAATAATCCATCAGAATATTAGAGGTCTCTTCAGTAAAGTGGATGAGTTGGAAATATTTATTGAAGATGAACAACGCCAATCCTCAGTGGCTAGACTGAGGCTTGGCCTAGCCACTGAGGATGCTACTTCATAACTTAAGGGCGAAATGTCTGGCTATTGTATAGTAAGTTAGTGACGACGCAGTTGACGCCGATAAACTCCATGAACTCTTAATTTAATAACATGCACCATGTTAATCAAGAAGTTATTTATTAACTTACCTTCTTTTAACTGTTCTAGTTCTTTGATAGTGGACGGGTACATGGGTGCTGGAGTTGGTTTTTCCCTAGAAATCACTTTTTCAGCCCTTTTCTCCACATTGAAGCTCCTCAGTTCTCGTAGTGTGAGTGAAGTCAGTTTAGTTATTGCTTGCCCCATATCAAAAGATAAGAAGTCGATTTCACTTAGTAGACTTAAATGGTGTTCAGGTCATCTTAGGCCTAGGGTAAAAGTTTCCAGACAGATTCCATAACCTAGTCATACAGAATCAAAATAAGTTAGGTAGATGTAGGCCTACTGTACAAAAGCTAGAAACTGTGATTAGGATATGACACAAATCAATACAACTGTAGGCTACTAAATTTGCCTTTATGTTAAATTGGCAACTTTTTTTAGGTCTGGGCCTAATTTATTTAGTTTTAAAATAGCAGACTTTCAAATTTGAGGAATATGCCTATGCCCTAATAGAGTTACATAATGTTAAACACATAGTACAGTAATAAATAAATGAGCGGAGAGTCAACGAATAAGAAAACTAAGGCAAAACTTCAAGAGTAGAGAATTTAGTAATTAGGATAATAAAAATCACTAACTACGAATCTTCTATGTGACAATGAAGAAGAGATTGCTGAAGCTGAACACACACAACACAGTCACAGACAGAAGACAGCAGGAGCAGACAGCAGAACAGAACACAACAACAACATCACAGCACTACAGCTACAGCGTAGCAGACGATAAAATGTGTTTCGACTTTCGTCTCGAATGAATATCGCATCGCATTTCGCCCGGTCGAACCAGCACAGCGGCCGAAGGTCGGACAGCGAAATTCAAGGGGAGGGGGTCACGTCCTTAATAACTTAGATTTCATGAGTACCAACCAAACAAGTATTGATTTGGTGCACTAAACTTCCCGTTGTTTCGTACAGGGATTGATTGCTGGCTCAAAGTGTTTCTAACCGATATGCTGATATTAAGGATGTTACTAAAACCCGCATTTGTGATATAAATTAAGTATTTTAAGTACTTTTAATGAACCTAATTTGGCACAGTTGTTAGTCTCAACCCGGCTCTTGGAAAAAAGCTTAAATAAATTTCAACCCCCCCCCTGCAACTGTTGATTCTAAAACCAAAGGCTGAAGCAAATGTTAGAATAATGTTCAGTTGCTGAAAGATATGAAATGAAATGATATTAATTTATTCGTCTATAGACATTATATGAATGCATGCGACAGAATCAAATTATATAAATACATGCTGGAAGAGGCACAAGTCAAGTTCAGTCAACTAATAATAATAGTAAACAATTAGTGTACAAGGTTTTAGGATACCTAAACTTACACATCATGCAAATAAATAATGGTACAAAAGCAGATAAGCATAGACAGGCTGAAAAAGACGGTGGGGCACATGGGAGGGACTAAGGCTAACATATCTTGTAGTGTCAGCGTTCGCCGCTAGAACTGCTAAGTTGACAAAATTTAAAATTTTTTTTTTATTTTTAGTTATAAAACTAACTTTTTAATTAAAAAATATTGTTTTAAAATTAAAAAATTAATTTTTAATTTTTAAAATTAAACTGTCATAACATAACCTAACCAACCAGACTTGCTGATAATATAAAAACTATATAAGATAAAAATTTAATTAATGATTACTTATAATTAATTATAAAATTTTTTATTATAAAATTAAACTGTCATAACCTAACCTAACCAACCAAACTTGCTGATATGAAAAATGTATTGACAAAAAGATAGTGCTGCCAGCGGGATTCGAACCCGGGACCTCCTGAACAATCATCCGAAACGCTACCAACTATGCCACGAACACATCACATCACATCGTTTCGTTACGGTATTCGTGTTGCCTCAAGAGAAGGCATTAGCCACTAGAGATATGACGTCACTACAACTTTAGCCTTAGTCCCTCCCGTGTGCCCATTCCCTGAAAAAGACATTCAAGGCTGGAATAAGATAATAATATGTGGTTATATCATTGGTTGTAAAGCAAAAAAATCACCAATCTTACAGGGGGTTTCTGACAAGCCATTCATAAATTGCATTCTTAAAACTATTGTAAGGGAGTTGAATTATTCTTGGCGACAGTTTATTCCACAACTTTCTACCCATAATAATATGGCTTCTTTTAATCTTTTCCAGTTTTGTAAAAGGAATGTCAAGGTTTTCTCTATTTTTATTCAGCATTGCCTCCAGGATTGATTTAAGACAATATGCATAAGGCAATATTGTCTTTTCTCTATTCCTATAGTGTCAAGGCAATGAAAATCACCCCTTAAAGCAAAGGTTTCATGCAACTTAAAACTAGATAACAATCCTACTAATATTATAAATGAGAAAGTTTGGATGTATGGATGTATGGATGTATGGATGTATGTTTGTGACAAGTGAACGCGAAAAATACTGGTCGGATTGGGCTGAAATTTGGCATGATGATAGCTCACATTCCCGATTAACATATAGGCATATTCTTATTTCAAAAATCCTTTCGGGCTCCGCCCCAGTGGCTCCGGAGTTTCCCATGATAACCTTATGAGAAATGGAACTATTGAATCTTAACAGCTGTTTCAATTAGACAAGTTGGTTCTGTTCTATTATGTTCAATAGCATTAAAGTTACAAGGATTACCAACAGGGTGCAGCACTATTATTTCTTTTACATTTATGACAAAAGCTAATTTGCAACCAAAAGGTGAGTGAGCGTAGCGAACGAACTTCAACCTGGAGGCGAGTTAGCGTAGCGAACGAGCTAACCTGAAGGCAAGTGAGCGCAGCGAACGAGCTCCAACCTAAAGGTGAGTGAGCGTAGCGAACAAACTTCAACCAGGACGTGATTGAGCCATGCGAACGAGATAATCTTGAAAATTAAGAAGTTAAACGGGGCAAAGCCCGCGGGTTACAGCTAGTACATTATAAATGGTTTATCACAGTCAAAGCGTTAAAGTTAATAAATAATGGTTTACAATGTTCATTTTGATCTTTGTTGAATATGGGCCGTGCTATAATATTATCGTTTGGTCAAAAATATACTTTTTTACCTTCCCCACAGTAGCAAAACTAAGCCCTCGTTTAAATCGTATGTTATTTATATTGGGAGTTAATAAAATAAGAGCTTCGCTCGATTCACTCGCTCCGCTCAATTATTTCATACAAAATCACCATCTTACCAGTACATAAAACCTACTCCTCAGTACTGGAAAAAGCAGATTTTTAGTTTAACTATTTTGATGGAAATACAAAAAAAAATAATATAATATTGGAAATAATAAGTCTTGTTATAAAAAATTATGGAAATATTTGAGTATAAATCCTATAAGTCAAATTCAATTCGCTTAATCTGCAAGTTTACTATGGCGGGGTTTTTTTATAACATGAGATTAACTTAAGACTTCACTGTTTTGTTCTTATACGTGGAAACAAATTTAATTGAGCATTGATGATTCAGAATGAAATTAATAACGCAGGCTATCTGACATTGTCGGTCAACGACGCAGCACACAAAGTATCAAGTAAGTATAAGTATCAAGTAGAAAGCTCTCTCTCATGTACATGGTAATTGGCTCTCTCATGTAATTGGCTGGGTAGCTGAATGGTTATAGTGCTCACCTAGTAATCAAAAGGTCGCCGGTTCGTTCCTGAGAAAATTCAGTAGCTTTTTGAATGTTCGAAACTGGACCCAGCTGTTCCTGATCATTGGGCTTTAAATAAATGATCCTGACTAATGAAACCGCTGATCTTAGTCAGTAACAATACTACACAAGTCATCACACACCATTCTACACTCATCCTTCACTCATATTTGGGTTAAAATACGCACCTAGGTGGCGTCCCCATCTCAATGATTGATAATTGATAAGTCACCGGTTCGATCCTGAGAAAAGTCAGTATCTTTTTGATGGTTCGAAACTGGACCCAGCTGATCATTGGGCTTTAAATAAATGATCCTGGCTAATGAAACAGCTGATCTTAGTCAGTAACAAAGCTACATAGATCATCTCACACCATTCTACACTTATCCTTCACTCATATTTGGGTTAAAATACGCACCTAGGTGGCGTCCCCATCTCAATAATGATAATTGATGGTAAGGTATTTTTTAATGACAAGAAACTAAATTTTTCAGACATCATCCTCAACTTATTGTAAACATTGTTTTAAAATCCTATAAGCCTTAGAATAGTTTAATGAAATTATGAAGAAATTATAATGATTTACCTCATACAATATTTACATTTGTTATAGTATAACATGTACTGCCTGTATGCAAAAAGCAAAATGAAAGCGTTCTTCATAATGGTGAATGTGTCTAATGAGAATCGATTATATGCAGAATGTTAGATATTGAGTGGGTGTATTTTGGTAAAATGTGTGATATAAAGTGGTTTTGTTTTGTGTTAAGTTGAAGTTTAATTTATTTTAGACATGTATAACTTTTAGTTTACTCAGAGACATAAAGTTTGTTTAGAATAGTAACAGCGTCTGCAAGCCACACTCAATCGAGGCTGATGCCTTCTCTGGCCTTTTACCCTCATCAAAAGCCCACTTTCAGTAGGTAATAACACTTTCGCTTCTTAATTATCTGGAAATTTAGTCTGCTTTTTGAGTAAATTTTGATCAAGTTTGACGTTTTGTTGTGTTTAGCATTAAAAAGATGTAAGTTAGCTCTATTATGGACTACACTGCAACACAGTGCAGAAGACAATGAAGGAGCTTAGGGATTAGGGAAGCTTGGCCAAGACAAAATACAAACATAGCCAAGAAGCCTTAGCAAAAATGATTTCCTTTCTATAATGATTAGGCCTATAGACTATTTCGTCCAGATTATAGTTGGCTAGTAAACTTAATTAACTTATCCTAGGCCTTTGAACTTGATCTGTTTCTTATTTTAACTTAACTTAGGGCCTAAGTTTAGTCCTACGTAACCTCGCCTAGCTCCCATTTAGCCAAGCAATTTTTCTGTAAGGCTAAGTTACTTTATCTCTTCAACTTGCAGTACCTAAGATATTCCATAAAAGTATTAGGCCTAAGATACTTTTTAGTCTGAGATTTTACTTAGGCCCTAAAATGCATGAGAAGCCATTTTAGGATTGGTATAAACTTAGGCCTAACTTATTAAGTAAGGCCTAAGCTTCCATAAAATATTTTTTTCTTCTTTTTTTTAAGAGGTTGGCGACCTCTTTTAACCTTGCATTTGCCCGTCCACATAGACAACAGATCTGTGCGTGGAACGTATCCAGCAAAGCAAGGGGTGAGCCGGTACAGTACAAAGGTGGGTAACTGAACTGATAGATAATTTTAGTGGCAAAGTGACCAGGATCCGAACCCACGACAATGCTGCCTTGTGGGCCTGAAGTCCGTGACGCTACCAACTGAGGCACCGACTCACCAATTAAATTTAGCCTTGGCGCCCTTGGCCTAACCTTGTTTAACTTAGGGCCAATTTTTTCCGGTGAATCATTCAGAAGATGCATTGAACAATAAGTAGCCTAGATGTGTCTTAACACAATTTTTAGCTGTAAAATGACCAGTGTGCTTAGTGAACGAAATGGTATCATCCGTGTACAATAGCACATCGTTAGATAAGTTAGGCTCCATTGTGACGGAGGTTGTTGATTGTAAGTTAGCTATAAATAAAAAAGGCCCATGAACCGAGCCTTGTGGGACTCCATGGTGATCTTGAAAGCTTTTGAAGGCTGCGGTTCCGTATAGGCCTAGAGCAGACAATATATTAGGCCTATATGATGAATAACGATATAGACCTAAGTATTTAGGCCCTACCTATATCAAAATTTGCTCGGTTCGATATAAAGTATAACTTATCAATTAACATTTTTTATTAGCCTAAATAAACATTTAACTAACACGACTATAAACATTGATTTTGATTGTTTTGTTTATGTTTTTATTAATATTTAAGTTAATATAGGCTAGGCCCTATCTAAAAAATAAAAACACAATTTATTAACCTAGCCTAAGTTAGGTTTTATATGGAAGTAAAAAACAAAAAAAAAACAAAAAAAACAAAAACTTAAGCATAACCAAAACTTAAATTATCGATAAATTAAGTTATTAAGAATGCAGAGGATACACGTCCGGTAACCGAATGTGGATTAGGCGTCCGGCAGTTACTGTCATTACCTTACCTAACCAGCCAAACTTAGGCCTACTGATGATGAAAAAATCAAATGAAGGTTAAATTATGTTCACAAAATAACATTTTAAATGCCAAAAATTTTAACAAAAGATGTACACCGGTACAGTTAAGAAGAAATGGCATTCAAAGCAAAATCTTTGACAAAAAGTTTAAGTTACCGCTGGGATTTGAACCAGGGATCTCTTGCATATCACCCGAGCACTCTATCCACTACACCACAAACACCGATGGCTGTACATCGTATCGTTGTGGTAATGGCGTTCCGGGCCCCCACAACCCGGTGACGTCACTGCCTGACTAATCCATGTCCGGTTACCGGAGGCGTATCCTCTGTGTACCGGTATTCAAAAATATAGGCCTAAACTAAACTAAATTTTGTCTTAACGTTATTTTTGACATCTAAATCAAGTTACCTACCTGGTTTTCGCATTTCATTCTAATCTTAATCTCGTCTCCACGTAGGCTATTTTGCATTTAGCTTGTTTTGGAATCAAATCATTTTTCTTAAAGAAAATCAACGCAATTTCCAAGAGTTGATATGGTAATCACATAAATTTATAAAATTCACAATTTCTTCCATTTTTAGTAGGCCTATTAAATATTTAATTGGAAACAAGGGATTAAACGAATAAATATAAAAATCCGTCAATGTTATTGTTTTTGTTTTAATTTAATATCATATGGTACAAATAAAATCATTGCGATATTATTATCAAACTGCCTTAAATTGATATAGCCTATATCGTTATTTATCGGATAATATATCGTAGGCCCTTTATGGAACTGTAGCCCTTTTGAGTATTCAACTGCCTATGACACTACTGTAACTTACTTGAGTCCTATTATCAAGGTGGGACTCGATCATTCCGAGCGCACGGTCACCAACTCCATAAGTTACTTAAGAAGTTTCTTTAGCAATAACTCATGTCAAGTTCACAATGGAAAGCACGTTACAAGTCATGTAGAGACTTTAGTCAACTAAGTCACTTAGTAAGTAACTTAGGCTAATTCATATAATTAACTTAACTTAATCGTTCCCTGAAGGGCAATTGGTAGCCTATTATCGATCCGCTCAATTTTTTGTTTTGAAGCAGGTGACGGTTTAATATCATCATAAGTTAGGCCTAACTTAATGTTAGGTGTTAAAGAAGGTGTTAGAATAGTTAAAGTGTTGCGGGCAAGGAGCAGACACTTTTGCAAATTCTCTAAGCGGAATGGTTGGAGTGTGTTTCCAAACAAATCAGCTGGTTCGCACTACTACTAGACTTACCGGTATTGATTTATTACTAGGCTATGATGAAACATTCCTCGACCCTCTCCAGAATCGCTGTAACCTTAAATGAAAGCCAGTATTTCACTGAAGGTTCTTAGGCTAAAATATATAGGATTTTACAATTATAACTGGTGAAGGTACATCTGAAATTGAGTAAGAATTAGAAAATAAATCAAATTATGTGTTTTGGACGAGTACAGTAGGTAAATATTTGTCGATGCCTTATGTGAAAGCCTTCAATTTGAGACCTCAATCATGAAAATCGTTAGGGTAGAAGAGCCAATTAAACTCGGAAAAGAAAACCCAAATTTAACTCCCATAAGAAATACATGGGGAGCCAATTTCGTTAACGTGTAAGCCAAGTGGGATAATAGATAAAAATATGTCAAGATGCTTTATGTGAAATATGTGTGGGCATACCTTCAGTTTGAAACCTCAATCATGAAAATCGGTTGGGTAGAAGAGCCAAACGAACTCGGCAAAGAAAAACCAAATTTATCTCCCATAAGAAATACATGGGGAGTAAATTTTGTTTACGTATCTGCCGAGTGAGATTATAGATAAATATATGTCGATGCTTGATGGCAAATCTGTGCGTGCATACCTTAAATTTGAGACTTCAATCATGAAAATCGGTCGGGTAGAAGAGCCAAACGAACTCGGCAAAGAAAAACCAATTTTTTAAAATATATAAGATGATCAGGAACAGCTATGTCCAGGTCCAAACCATGAAAAAGCTACCGTACTGACTTTTCTTTGGATCAAACCAGCGACCTTTTGATTGTTAGGCAAGCACTTTAACCAATAAAACCAATTATCATTAAGGAAAATAAACTGTAAGCATTGTCCTTTATAACATACTAGCAGAGTACCCGTCCTTCGTAGTTGATGGCATATAAGTTTAAAATGCTTATTGCAGCTATACTCAAGTTTTGCGTGGGCAAAGGGCCAACTGGGGGGGGGGGTTGACAAAGTTTTATAAAATTTGCTTCTTTAAATTGATGGTATACTATGGTATTACACATCTACTATAGCCATAATGTTCTACCATTTCACCTAAACAATAAAGAAAAATTAACTATTGCAAAACCACAAAAAATCACAAATTATTCATGACATTAAAAACATAAACACAACTAACTGTAAAAAATCCTACTTTAACAGTTCTCATTGCGTTTCACAGTTTTTTGTTGCTGCTTAGTTCAAATTAGCCGTTTACATAAATGCAAAAAAAATTATAGTGCTGCACCCTGTTGGTAAATCTTATAACTTTTTAATGCTTTTGTATAGCATAGAACCATCTTTTTTTAGTTGAAACAACTGACTAAATTCTTTAATTCCCTTTAAACATGAATACTCATCAGGTTAACATGGGGAACTACAGAGCCACTGGGGCGGGGCCCAAAAGGATTTTTGAGATAAGAATATGCCTACAGTAAGTTATATGTTATTTGGGAATGTGAGCAATCATCATGCCAAATTTCAGCTCAATCCGTCCAGTGGTTTATGCGTGATTGAACTTCAAACAAACAAACATCTAGGCTACAAACTTTTACATTTATAAGATAAGATTTTCACCTACTGTATTTTAATAGTAGTCTTATTTTAGTTAGCCTAGATCCGTAATTTTCACAAACTTGTTTTTATTTAAACCATGATGTCATATTCAAGTCAACAGAGCAATATTTTTGTAAATCATACAAATTATATAAATATGAGAACTTGTTTTATTTATGCTTACAGTAACTTAGGTTTTAAATACATTTATATTCTTTTAAATTTGACATAGGTTAAGACACTGCATAGGAAAAAAAAAATAAAATCATAGTCTAATAGCAACGGTTTGTAATTTTTCTTACACTTTTAACTTAAAAAAAACATAGAACTGTTAGTTGTAAAATGTATGAAAATATGACATTTTGATACCTTTGCATGATTTGAAATTCATTGTAAAAACTGTCTAATTATAACAAAAATGTATTGCTGTTAAAATCCAATGCCTAGTGTACAAATTTTAAGTTTTTTTTTTATTTGGGAAACATTTTTTTTTGTAAGAAATCCCAAAAGTGTTAATTTTTTTCAATGATCCAAAAATTTTATTTCTTAAGTTACATGATCATACTTG